AAAGCTGGCTTTCAAAATTTCTGCCTTGGTCACTGTAGATCTCCAAAGGCACTTCAAATCTAATGATGAATTCTTTTATTAACACGTATGCAACAGCTGTGGCCTCTTGATTTGGAATGACATAGACTTTCACCCACTTCGTGAAATAATCTATAAACACCATCATGTATTTATTACCATTCTCGGTCATGGGGAATGGTCCAGCAATATTTAAGGCAATCCTCTTAAATGGGCTACTGACGTTGTGCTGCTTCATGGGACCTTTCTTTTTCGTTGGGGTCCATTACTCATAGCACAGGTGGTACATTTCTTACACCAGTCCTTTACATGATCGGAACTGTTCATCCGATAAAACCTTTCACGAACTCCTGAAGAGTTTTCTTAACACCGAGATGTCCTCCTGATGGACTGTCATGTAACTGACGGCTACTCTCGTCTTTGGAATGACCAACTGTTTTCGGAACCATCATCATTCTCTAGTACTCGCTTTAATAAGCCTTTTTCCAAGATAAAGGAGTCCCACTGGGCACAATATGATTTAATTGGCTCCATGACAAAACAGCGCAGGACAAAATAGCGCAGACAAAATAGCGCAAGGACAAAATAGCGCAGGACAAAATAGCGCAAGGACAAAATAGCGCAGGACAAAATAGCGCAGGACAAAATAGCGCAAGGACAAAACAGCGCAAAGACAAAATAGCGCAAAGACAAAATAGCGTAAGGACAAAAGGCAAGGAGAAAAATAGTGCTCAACTATAATTACTACCACTATTTTAATTTACAATATTCGCATACAGTTCTAAAGTTTAAGTTAGTAATAAGTTAGATTTTTTTATAATTTTATTCTTTTTTATATCAAATAAAATAATATCAGTGTAATAATTTAAATGAAAATTTTACAAGATTTCTAATAACAAATTATAACGGTACGCAAGCATACACTTAGTCAAACAAACCACAAAAATTCAGACTAAATACTAAGTAAAGGAGCAATATTTCTTAGATAATCAAACGATGATACAGTGCCCCAAGTCTTTATCAGTGCTTTTATTTTTCGGTTTAGTGTAATATATTTCTTTTTAGAAGCTTCTAGTCTCCGCTCGCCGTTATTAAAACGTTGTATGATAATTTCGTAATAATCAATTTCTCTTCTAATTTGACTAACTAATTTAAACATTGATGGACGATGACAGTCTAAAGTTTTTTGAAATGCATTATGCCATGCTTCTACTAAATTATTCGTTCTCGGAAGATCCATTAAAACTCGATCCCACATATTCCAGTGGGTAATTGGAAAAAGAGGAACTTCGCGCGTTCCTAACTTAACCCGACGAATATAATACTTTTCCCAATAAGTCAAAAGAGGTCGTAAATCTGGCACACATATTTCAGAGAGAACGTCAAAAACAGAAGCCACTTCTCTTGGAGGAATAAAACATAACGCTAATATCATTTTAGCATTAATACGAAATTGTTCGTTTTCTCTATAAGTTTTCGTTAAATGCAATTTTTGAATTTTTCTCCACAAGCTTTGTCCCAAATGAAACAAACAACCAATAATCTTCAAATTAGGAAAAACAGAAGCGGCTTCATTACATATCGCTTCTTCAAAATCGAGCATCATTGTAACTGGTGTTAAATTTGGTTCAATCTCTTTGATTGTTCGAAAAAATCTTACATAAGTGTCTTCGGATTTATTCAATAAAAAAGCATAAATTAAAGGAATTGCTCTGTTGTCGATCAACGCATGTAAAGTAAATACTTGGGTAAAAAATTCTGGAGCAACTTTGAATGTACCGTCTGCAAACCAATTTTCGTATTTTTGTAAGAGACTCACATTTTTCCTTGTCCCAAAAATTATCATTCTCTTAGGGTCTTTGACACCAGAATCCCATAGAAGCATATGTTTTCTCTAGTTGTAACTTGTAGATCTTCTGGAATTATTAACTCACGTAACGATCTGTAATATTAAACATTTATTCCTTTGACGATGAATATTTTTTGTAGAGACGTATATTTCGGCAGTGAAGATGATGCGAGCAGAGACATACCTTGAGTTGCTTCTTGAATTACTTTTCTAGCCTTAACTCGTGTTTGGTTTGCTTTTTCTCTAATTTTATTTACTACAGTACGGGCATTATTATCCTCTATATCAGGTGCATGGTTATGCATAGTTATAATCTTTGGAGTCTCTTTAATTGTCTTCACACGTCCTTTACACCATACCTTAATGCATCTCCATGATTTTGATTCATCAACATTGACTCTATCTAACCTGTAGCGATAGCTTTCAAATATTAAAATATCTCTGCCTTTTTGTGATTGAATGAATTCCATATTTAAATGACTGCTATTTCAAAATAAAAGTCAAATACCTATATCCAAGGAAACCAAATTAGTCAATAATAAAAGAGATGAATCGCAGTTCACCATAGATTAGGTAACAGGGGTCGGTCAGACCATACGAATAAAATGTTAGAGAGACGGAGCTACAGTCCAAACATTTAATACATAGGCGTCGCCGAAACAGTATTCGTTACGCATTATTTCAAGGAATTACATTAAAAATCATTTCTTGTTCGTTTGCCCTAGTTTTTGCTTGTAAATATTCTAATTGAAATAAAAAAAAATAACCAATTTACCTAACCTGTGCGGCCTGGTGCCATTGCATGTTGCACAAGGCACAGGTTAGGTAAATCAATTAAGTTTTGTTTTATTTTAAATAGAACACTAGAATATTTTGATCTTGCGCTATTTTGTCCTGCGCTATTTTGTCCTTGCGCTATTTTGTCCTTGCGCTATTTTTTCCTGCGCTGTTTTGTCCTTGCGCTATTTTGCCCTTGCGCTATTTTGTCCTGCGCTATTTTGTCTTGCGCTATTTTGTCCTTGCGCTATTTTGTCTGCGCTATTTTGTCCTGCGCCATTTTGTCCTGCGCTGTTTTGTCATGGAGCCGATTTAATTACTGGACAGAGTTTCGATACTTCTTGCCAAGTAGGTCGACGATTTTCCTCTTTCTATTCTCTTATCTTCTTTAAAACGGGATCGTTCTATTGTTCTTCCCTAAGTTTGACAGGGACCCACTCATCGCTGATAACCGACGTTCTTCATACTGTAACTTCTTTAGTAGATATTGCCAACCCCTTTCCAAACCAAGTGCCTTGACCAATACCTTCATTATACTTCGAAGGTTCCACCATAACAGGCGTTTCTTATTCTACAGTTCTTTGCAACAGTATTACTCTTATAGTTTAACCTCTATCAGGAACCCCCGTTTCTTCCTGTACAGCCACCGACACTGTTTTTCGATTCGTAGTGTTCTTTGGACGTTTGCGCGAATTGCTTACATTTCCCATTTTACCGCAATTCCAGCACCTAGTAGTCTTCGGTTGCTTGTCAATAAGGTATCATGTGAAACAATTGGTCGATTGTATTTCCCTGTTCTTCCTCTTTTACAGTTCTTACTTCACTGTATCCACCAGAAGCCAGCGTAGCCGCTTCATATTCAAGAGCAGCGAACAAGACATCGACCAATGTTTTGTGATGGGCTAAATGGAGTGTTCTTTGCATTTCATGGTCATGAAGTCCATCAACAAATGCTTGAACAGCCAAACATTCAATTATGTATTCCGGAGTTGATAGGTAGGCAAATCGCACCATCTTCGCAATATCTAATTCAAATTCTTGAAGGCTCTCGTCACGTTTCTGTTTACGATTCTTCAACTGTAATCGGTACACCTGGTCCAAGTGTTCGTGACCATATCGCATGTTTAGTCTCTTTAAGTTGTTCAAAGTCATAGGTATCTTCCACAGGTATAGTCTGAAGGACATCTAATGCATCTCCTCGAAGGGCGATGGTCAAATTTACTACCTTTTCTCTTTCAGTCCATTCGTTTGCTCTCGCGGCTGTTTCGAACTGTTTAAGGCAGTTAGTCCATGACATCTTCCCGTCGAAAGTTGGGGCTTTAACACGAGTAGAGTTTACAGCTCCTTCCAGTTTCAACTTTGACTCCACCTCATGGCACTTTATTTCACCGTTCTTTGCCAGTTCTCTATGCTCCAGTTCTTCTATTTTCTTTTCCATTTTTTTTTATGTTTTCCTTAACGGAAGATATTATATTTTCTCCTCAACAAAAGAAATTTCATTTCTCATAGAAGATAATTTGTTTTCCAAGTTGGAAGAAATTTCATCTTTTAAAGAAGATATATCAAAAGATAATTTAGTTTCTAAGAAGAAGATATCATTTTTTATAGAGGAAACATCAGAAGAAAGTTCAGTTTTCATAAAGGACATATCAGATAAAACTTTGGTTTCCAGATATTTTACTTTCCAAAGAAGAAATTATAGAAGACGCATCATCAGGAAATAGATACATTTCCGGATCCAAACCTTCACTTTCTAGTGCTTCTTTAAGCCGCCAGCTCAGCTTTTTTTCCTGTCGTCTCCGGATCACGATCTTCTAATTGTCAATGCAATTCAACCACTTTTACATCACACAGTTTTTTAGCCATTTTTGTCCACTATTGATCTACAGTTCCACTTCAAACACTAATGTAACGTTTGTTTAATTTATTTTTAGTTTTTTTTAACACTTTATTTACAATTTATTTATACTTAGGCACTATTATAACTCACAATTCCAATTTATTTATTACAATTTATCTTCTTTGTCCAACACTTAAATTGAATCTTCTCGTCCGTCGACAAACTTGCGCTATTTATATAAAGCCAGCTCTGTACCAGAACACTCTGGACGACCCAGAAGGATCGAAAAATGTCTCCCTATGACTTATACTCCGCAAATCAATCACTCCGGCAGTTTAGAGAAGCGGTGCGTTTGTCTCTATATGGCCAGCGCTAGACTTCATGCTGCGGGCAAGGAGTAAACAAAGTACAGAGACGACTCCGCGTCACATTACTAATTTTAAAATATTCCAGATTTTTTTATTTGTCGCTTATATGTTCTTAAACCTTTTACTTAGAACATATGTTTTGTTTCAGATGCAGAACCAGCCGATTTTGAACGAGCCATATCAGCTTCCGGTTATGGCAAATTCAACGTCATCCTGTACATTATTTCGACCGCCGCAGGATGGTCCTCTGTATTCGAAACGACCACGATGTCCTACGTTTTTCCCGCAGCCGAATGCGACCTAAAACTCACCCTGAACGACAAGGGGTGGCTTAATGCAGTCACGTATGCAGGTGAGCTTTTAAAATACCGATAAAATCAAAGCGCGGGTTCGGCAGATTTCAATTAATAGACACGTGCCGTATTTTTTATTTCCACGGATTATTTAAGATGTTATGCTCTTCGTGGTTTCCAGATTTTATTAGCAATTGCATAAAAATGCATTTAAACACTGTTGGGTGAAATTTTTCTTAGAATCGATATTTCTGCTGACTATAAATTTATATCCTTCAAAATTTACTTCAAATGTACTAAACTAAACAGAATATAATTAAAAGAACAAACGACTTACCTGTCCCTTCTGATTTATATGAGTATACTCGTCCAAATAGATGTGTAATATCTATTTAGACGAGTACACAAAATATAATTATTATGTTAACTGGCACTGCTTTTGGCCAATAGAGATGTGTAAGGGGTTTTCTCGTCACATAGAAAACGGTTCCTTACGAATGGCACTGGTTACGGGCGGTTCTCGAGCGTCAGATTTTTGGTTATGGTTTACTCCACAAACTCTCGAAACGGCGTCGAAAGTACTCGGGTAGCTACAGATGGAGATGAAAAATTCCAGGGGTCGAAGGTCACTTAGACACAGGTAATAGTAGGCCACAAGCCACAAGTAACGGGCTTCAATCGTTGCTTGGGCTGGTACAGAATTTATCACTAGCTGAAATACAAGGGGAAAATAAAGTCAGGAATAAATAACCAGTAATACGACAAGTTAACATTGACACATATATTGTTTTAAACTATTTACAACAAAAAAAAGAAATAAATTAATATATTTCAACGCCCACCCTCACGGTAATATGTACAAACCCTGAACAAAATAAACAAACAAAACGGCCGGAAATGACTTCCGAATAGCCTCAATCAGACGTAAAAAAAATGAAATCAATAATTGTAGCAATCACGGTCACAGCAAAAGTTTATTATTGAACTGTCTATTCGGTTGTTGAGCTAAAAATGTAACTTGCTATTTCGTTCGGAAGTATTAATTCGGTCGTAGCAAAAATTAACTGTTAAATTGTCTAATCGGTATTTACAATCAAATGTAATTAAATGCTTCGGCAAAGCAAAATTTTATATGCGGTTGCAGAGAATGCGAGGAAACAGATTCGGGACAGTACTAATTCCAGGGCTGAAACCGTGACTCTATAAGAAGTTTACTCAAACTAGTGGTTGGAAAGTAAGACCAACTAACAACCGGGATAGTACATTATCGTTAATGAAGTGATTGTAATCACGAGCCGCTTCAGACAGGGGAATGATACTATTTAAGTTCACTTAAAATAACGGAGACTTACGCAAATGAATGTTTTAGATGTAAAATAAACTAATAACCGGGATAACATCTTGTCTCTGAATGAAGTGATCGTAATCACGAGCCGCTTTAGACAGGGGAATGATGTTATTTAAATTCTCTTAAAACTTGCGGTTCGGAGGATAAAACAAAAGAAAATGTCTCGTCGCAATTCTACTAAGATAACCAATCAAAACATTAGACAATTCCCAAACAGTTCCGACCAATTATTTATTGGTTAAAGCTTTCAATAAACTAAAATGAAATTTACGATTTGTCCACGGAAATCTACAGTAGTAGGAAAAATTAACTATACGACTATAATTACGATCAAATGAAAAATAAATTATTAAACAGTTAAAACGTTAAATAAACTAAAATGAAATTTATGATTTGTCCACGGAAATTTACAGTAGCAGGAAAAATTAACTATACGACTATATTTACAATCGAATAAAAAATAAATTATTTAACAGCTAAAACCTTAAATAAACTAAAATGAAATTTATGATTTGTCCTCGGAATTTTCAGTAGTAGGAAAAATTAACTATACGATTATATTTACAATCGAATGAAAAAGAAATTATTTAGGAGGTAAAACCTTAAATAAATTAAAATGAAATTCCAAAAGAACGGTGTTTTCTAACAAGAATAAATTAAAGTATTTCTTGTTCAAAATAAATTTCAATTCTTAACTCAACACGGAATATTGTTAATTAAAAATAAATCAAAATAAATCGGTTTCCAATAGCTCGGTTTAAAGACTCGAATGAAAAAAAAATCAATTTATAAAAACAATGACAACAATTTACCTATCGTCAAGATCGTGGCTAGAAATAAATTTCGGTTTTGATTGTCGGAATCGTATCGGAGTAATTTAATTATTCGTCTATTCAATACAACGGTGTAAAAGCAAGTCAACTGTTTAGTCGTCGAGAACCCTTCCACTACCAGAGACCCCACCAACGGCAGTACTACCGCGCATCGATATGTCGATCGGCAGTGCGCATCTGTCTAAAATCAGGACCAACATTTCAATCGCGTTTAATATTTATTAAAAATGAAAAATTAAAATAAACTGATTGAGGAAAAATTTACTTCATTACAGATGACTGACGAGATATTATAAAATTATACTAAAAAATAAGAATTTTACAAACAAAGAGAATTTTTAGTCAACAAAACAGTGTTAACTTTTCTCAAATAGCTTCTGATTTAGCCTAGGAATCTATATTAAATAAATCTGACCTTTTAAGAGAATTTTAGCAAATAATGTGTTCAGCACCGGACTCTCCTCACTCCTGTAAAGTTCTCATCTTCATTCCAATGAAAATACTGAAAAATTCAAATTTTACACTTGGTTCAATGCTTGAAAAAACATTCAAATCGTCTAGATCACTATTCTCTCATTTATCAATCGATGAATCAATGGCAAAATTCAAGGGAAGATCGACATAATGCTTACCATTCAATCCTATCAAAAGAGGGATAAATTTTGATATATTCTGGAAAGGAAAAATCGATCGACAAAGAAAGCACGATTGGAAAACGCGTTGTTAGGAAATTAGTGGAACACATATCGCCAAATGAATCAATATTCTTGTTTCGAACGGTTTTTATCCGAATTAACCTTTTATAGCCACTGACACATGTATTCGAACTCGAAAAAAATGTACCTAAGATAACAAAAAAACTGGAAAGAGGAGAATATAAAATTGCTGCGACTACCAGTGGTATAACAGCGAGTTTTTGGCAAGATATAAAAGAAGTTTTGATTCTCAGTAACTACCATGCAGACGAAATACAATTAATAGAAAAAAATTGAAAACTGGAGATAAAGTAGTTTTTGATTGCCCACTATCCATTGTCGACTATAATGCATATATGGGTGGGGTAGATTTATCCCATTACCTTACAAATCTGTATGATTTCGATAGAAAATCTATGAAATGGTAGTGTAAAGTATTTTACAAACTTTTAATGACCACAGTAATCAATGCTTATATAATACAATAGAACAAATAGAAGAGCCGGAAGTAGCAGTTGCGATTCATATCTACACTGACGGTTCTAAAACAAAACAAGGCTGCTCAGAATGTAAAATATACTCCAGATTCTTAAAGCTAAACATAAAATGGGCTGTGAGCAATAGTGTCAGTGTAGTTCAAACAGAGCTCACGAAGATTCTCATAGCAGCAACAGAAATCACCAGAAATAATATCACTGGAAGAAACATACTAATCTATACATATAACACACAAGCACTACTCACCCTGGTCAGACCACGAATTTATTAAGGGTAGTACTAGAATGTCACGAAGCTTTGGCCGAAGTATCCATCAACAATAAGGTCAACTTAAGATGGATCAAAGGTCACGACACATCGGAAGGTAGCCAAAAAGGCTGCCAACCAAATACTTTTTGGATCTAGCCCCTCTATTGGACTGACAACATCGGTAGTGACAAACCCAATTAAAGAACATTTCCTTATGAAATTCAAGGAAAGATGGGATGAAACAAGAAGCTGCAGACTTGCCAGGGAGCTGTTAAGTTATCTTGACAACAATACAGCAAACAAATACTTAATTATGACTAGACAGAATCTGCGCCTGATCACATCTCCATATCATGGGGCTGGTGGAATTTGCACTCTGCAGAGGATGCGAACAAGAAGATGAGACCATCGAGCATATCCTCTAGGATTGCCCGATGCTCTTATGTATTAGAAGATTTGTGTAGGAGGATGCACAATGGGCCTATTAAGGCCTAAGTGTTGTGGGTTAACCCACCATCCACACGTTACAGATATAGAATACACAATGAAATTCCCCACAAGAAAGTAAATACTATCTCGTTCATAGTAAGGAAGCGAACAACAGGACGTCCTTCAGCTACTTCCAGGAATCTGTAAAACGTTGAAAACGACCTTCCTACTCAAGGAAAAACAATAAGATGTTTCAGATGCACCAGACAGAAAATTAAAGTGCAAAGTGTAATCTACCATTATGTAACAACTTTTTCACGCCATATCATACATAACAATGTAAAGGGATAAACAAAGATTTGACGTTTTCGTTAAGGCATTCCAAACAAGTGACAGGCGCATGGCAGGTTATAATATGGCAACAATGTCAGCCTGGCGATTTAATAGGGTCAATGCTATAGACAGTTATATAGATTAATCATCCATGGTTTTAAAAATAAACATAAGCTTATGCCATAAAGTAAAAATATAGGCAATTATTTTTTTTTAATATTCAAAGGCTGAAAATTAATTTTAAAACACATTTTTGCTAAACTGATTCAAATTAATGAACAGTTGACAGGCAATGTGGCCGCTCGCAAACGACCCGCTTTGAGCAATCTATATAACTATATACGTATCATTGACCCTGTTAATAATAGTATGCCAATGGGTGCTATGATTGAACGTTTACGTTATCCATAACGTACATGTTAGGCCGAGTATTAACATTAACGAGGCAAGTTTGTGTGATGGAAAACTGTTAAATTAGAACATAATAAGCAGAAAATAACAGTAATGTGTTGGAAAAAGTTTTCCATCATACGAACTTGCCACGTTAATGTTAATACTCGGCCTAACATGTACGTTATGGATAACGTAAACGTACATGTTATGCCGAATTTTAAAAGTAACGAGGCAAGTTCGTATGATGGAAACCTGTTAAATTAGAACATAACAGGCGGAAAATAACAGTAATGTGTTATGAAAGACTTTACATCATACGAATTTGTCTCTTTGCTGTTAAAACTCAGCCTAACATGTACGTTACGGATAACGTAAACGTTCAATCATAGGACCCAATATCTAAACTGTTAGATCCGTTAGATCCCAGTGGTAGCCATTTGGACAGGTCGTTGGAATGCCTAATTACTGTTTGTATCTCCTTAGTGTTGAGACATATGTGTCACATCGTAAATTACGATTGGGGCATATTTGTCCTACACTCAAATTTCGATTGTGACATTTCAAAAAACTTTCGGGAACGAAACATAGCCTCTAAAGAAGGCATTTTATCAATTATGCTTAATAACATTTGAAAAAGTCTGTCCAAAAGGAGATACACCATTTTAATAAGTATCGGTCTGTCTACAGAGCAACTATGAAGGCTACTAAACAAGTTTATTATCAAAGAAGAATAAGTCGCATAACAAGCTAAAATGGACAACTGCAAAAAATTTAAGATAAGAAAATATTGAAAGCTCACGTTATGTCCTTATGTATACAGCTAAATCTATGAGATTTTTGAACTATAATTTATTTTATTCCCCTCTGGTTTTCAAGAAATAATAAATCGGTAAAGTATTTTACCCAGAACTTCCCTCGATACAGAAATTGTAAAAGCTGGAACTCCTAAGTACTTAATTTTTAAAAAATTAAAATTAAAATCACCAAACCAAAAACTCTTTTACACATTTCTCTCTCCATCGAACTTCCTCTTCTGTATCTGTAACCTGTGGAGGGTGGGTTACCCCTACAGCATTAGGCCTCATTAGGCCCATTGTGCATCCTCCTGAGATAATAGGCACCTCGTGAGCCAGCCTACAGATTTAATGTAGTTGACAACGTCGCCAAGAGGTGTTTCTCTTATATCGACCGATGAGAGCGTCGAGCAATCGTAAAGGCAATACTCGATGATCTCATCTTCTTGTTCGCACCCTCTGCAGAGTGCGGATTCGGACAGCCCCATGATATGGAGATGCTTCCGTACTTGGCAATGACCTGTCAGAATGCCTGTGACTAGGCGCAGATTCTATCTAGTCATAGTCAAGTATTTGTTTGCTGCAGTGTTATCAGGATAACTTGAATTTCACAAGGGAATGTTCTTTAATTAGGTCTGTCACTACCGATTTTGTCAGGCCAATAGAAGGACCCGGTCCAAAAAGTATTTGGTTGGCTGCTTTTTGGCTAGTGAATCAGCAAGACGGTTACCTTTCTATGTGGCGTGACCTTTGATCCATCTTAAGCCTTGGTTTCTTTGAACACTCCGTCGCGGTGAGCGGACAGTCCATCGACCGTCGCGTTTTGACGATTTTATCTAACCAGAGTATTTAAATGGGAACGGTTTTCTTGAATCCGCTTAGATAAGCAGGACAGCGTCATGCCGATGATTTGTCGCGAATAGTCGGTTCATATCTGTTGAGTTTGATATCAGCGGAATCGTCGGCGTGTGCGGAGACAGTTTGTGAATACAAATAATTATATTGTTATTAGTTTTAAAACAATGAGTGACAAATTCACACATACAGATCATGAAATCTTAATAGATTTGGTTCGACAACATCTTCCTTTATACAGTGTGGCAGGAAATGTCGTCCTTTATAAAACTAAACACGAATTCCAAAAGATCTGTAAAAAGTCTAAAATACTCATTAAACATACAACCAATTTATTTGAGTCCATTTTAGTACCTTTCGTTTCTAATCATAATACATAAACAGCACATACAGACAAATAAAGTCTAATTTTCTATATTTAAACAAACCACCTCGGGCGAAAATCGCAATCCTCAGTGGTCGACGGACTGTCTGCTCACCGCGACGGAGTGTTCAAAGAAACCAAGGCTTTAAGGTGACCACATTGTTGACAGATACTTCGGCCAAAGCTTCGTGACATTCTAGTACTAACCCTGAATAAATTCGTGTTCTGTTCAGGGTGAGTAGTGCTTGTCTGCTATCTGTATAAATGAGCATATTCCTTCCAGTGATATTGTTTCTGGTTATTCATTTTGCTGCTATGAGAATCCCCGTTAGCTCTGTTTGAACTACACTGGCACTATTGCTCACAGCCCATTTTATGTTTAGGTTTAAGAATCTGGAGTATATTCCACATCCTCAGCCTTGTTTTGTTTTAGAACCATCGGTGAAGATATGAATCTTACCTGCCACTTCTAGCCCTTCTATTTGTTCTATTATAACTTTATATATGGAAGATATATCTCGGTGAGATGGAGTCCATGTTCGCTTGAAGCAGTGGGAGAGTATCGAGGGTCTCCTGCCAAAAGTGACGTCTTGCCTCACCAGATCCTATATCAGGTTCTATTCCAACCGTAATTGTCGTCAGGGCTACCTCGTAGATGTAAATATCAAGGGGAGTGAGACTAAGAATGACTTCAATCGCTCTGGTCGGTGTTGTTTTCATGGCTCCTGTTATGTTGATACATGCTGTTCTTTGAATTTGTTCTAGTTTACGGATAGCTGTTCTTGATTAAATCAGAAATTTCACTTCGCGTCTACTTAGTTCACCGTTATTGAACAATAATGATTGGCTGCTTTTAAAATGGTCCAGTTACACAAAGGGGACCTTTTTTTGATTAAATATAATTCCTTTCAACGCCTATCTCTGCCCTGGTGAATTATAAATCAGCCTCTTAATCAGGGGCGGCTGGTGGTTCACAGTAGCAGAATATAGATCCGAGTACAGATATAGGTAAAAAACTGTCAGTGTTTTAGAAAGGTATATTATAAACTTTCTAAAACACTGAAAGTTTTTTTCATACATATGTACTGATACCTATATTTTATCACTGTGAACCCCCCCCCCCCCCCCCCCACGAGCTGCTACTGCTCTTAATAGCCCTTATGTTCTCCGTAGCGCTATACCCATTCTAAGGCGAGACAATTGGACTACCAAGCTCTGTTAGGGCTTCCAAACAGTCTCACATAAGCTTTGACTGTACCTGCATGGAACTGAGTGCTTTTAACGTCACTTTACTAAGTATATGACATTTACCTTTTATTTTAATACCCCTTTTTGAGCAGTGATATATTTGTGCTTTCTGCATGGATTGCTGTCGCATGTTTACTTATGCGAGCGACTTGTGGCACAGTCACGGAGCGATCTCAAATAGCTCTAAACATAGTGAACAACTGGTGCAAAAAGACGAAGAAAAAAAAGGAACATCAAGCGACGTCCTGTGCCAAGGTGATTGAGGTTTTTAACCATTAGGCGAAGAAAATCCAGACGCATGGATCTACATGCGGAAGCCACAATAGATCTGAAAAGTTGCGGTGGACAAGGACGATGTCTGACCCCTTTCAAATCTAATCTAATCTTACCAGGAGCGCATATACATGGTAATGGGAGCAACCACCTATCTTATTATAGGTACTAAGTCTTTAGTCCCTCGGACTTGAATTTTATTGCCACTACTCCCCAGACTTAAGCTCTGGATGCGCCACTGAATCTTACCTAAGCTCAGTGAGATTCTTGTCTCTAGCTTGGCACTATAAATACATACTCCTAAACCTTCATGGGTTTTGGAGCAGGCTGTATATAAGGTGATTTGTTCGTGAATAGGGGTCCTCTCTTTCACGATTTCTGGTCTAGAATCTGAAATACTTACTTTAATTTGCTTTTGAAAATTATATATTGGAAACATTTCGTCTGAAGGCATTACCATTATTTTGTCGTTCTCCAAATAAAGATAGAAACACAGTGTTGGGCGGGCTATTTCTATTTCTGTGCCTAGACGTCCATTTAGGTGAGGTGGCCAGCATCAACCTTGATGTGCCGAGAAAACCATCGGGAACCGGCTAATCCCTAGCTTCCATAAATAATGTAATAAGTATAAGTAAAACACATACTCTTAAAATGCGCTTTTTATTAACGCTAGTTAAATCATAAATTTGTACTGTACTTATTACACTTGGCCTCTACTGGGATACATTGAAATATTAAATTTAAAACATGGTGATATATAATATGAATTTTACATCTGTTGAGATGGAGCTCTTACAATAGACTGGCTTATTTTATTACAATTCTAAAGTTATTAAAACATTTTTAGCGGGAAATATTTCTTACGTGATGTATACGAATTAGATTGGTTGCTTACTGTCGGCCTCTTGCCATTGGTCTGAATGATTATTAATTTTATGGCCCTCGCCTTCTGGAGGGGGAGTCATTGTTCATAGATAAAATGATAGAGATGGGATTGCATATTTGTTTTTAGAGGTGTGATTATGTGTATGTGTATTTGAATGTGTTTTGTAATATTGCTTAAGTGTTCAAATGTAATTTGAACAATAGAGTGTCATTAAGTTTTCGTTAGGCAGTTATTGCTCTATTCATTGCACCATCAGGTTAAGGGCTAAACACACTCACCACTACCTACATTTTATTTTCAGGTATGATATCTAGCGCATTTATCTGGGGATTTTTGTGCGACACTCTTGGACGAAAAAAACTACTGATCATTGGACTACTCTTGGACGGTCTTTTTTTAATGATGGCTGCCCTCTCACAAAACTTCATACTACTAATGGTTGCCAAATTTCTTGGAGGCTTCATGTAAGTCAACGCTCATTTTTTTATTGATTTAATCAAAAATTGTTTTTTACAGAATTAACGGACCTTTTGCTGCACTAACGGCTTATTTATCTGAATTTCACTGTGCCAAACAGCGGGCCAGAGTTCAGATGATATTGGGAGCAATTTTTAGTTTGGGAAACCTTATTTTACCCATACTGGCCCTGATTATACTGCCTGTTAACATGAATTTTAATCTTGGAATCTTAGGTAAGTATTGGAACATTTTTCATATTTTAACATTTAAAACCTTGAGAAAGTTAATCGATATTCCTACTTTATTTTAATTCACACGCCTATGGTTAATTTTATTTTAAATAGAATTAATTTTTATACTTCAGTGCCGAAAATGATTATTTTTAAATTAATGTGACATCAATAACCAAATGCGAGTGCTGCAACTTGTACCAATGCAAAATAGGTATTTTGTGCGAGTTGAATATTATAATTTTTCTACGACTACTTTTTACATATTCTCAACTACTAAAACCTAATATTGCCAAAAAGAATAACAAGAGTATAATGGGGGGTGGGTGGCTCAGTGGTAGAGTCTCTGCCTGCGGATCCAAGGGTCCCAGGTTTGAATCCCACCGTTGGCCGAGATTTTTTTATTTAATTTAATTATTTAAATTTAATTCTGATGCCTTGGTAGGATTCCCCACTCGACCATTCACTGTTGGATTCTAATTAACAGTGCTGCTCCTAAAGTGGCGCTGGGAAACAGTAACAAAGCCTACACAGAACACGAGGCTAATAACCTTAGTAGTTGAAGCCGATGACACCAAATTAAAAAAAAGATTATGATGATACCAGGGCAATACTGGTAATATCACTTAAGTTGTAAAGCATATTTTTTCTATGATTCACTAAAGAAAATCTACAATATTTTAAAAAATAATTTACAGGTTTTTACAAACAAAATAACTATTTTTAAAGTAGTTAACAAAAAGATTTATAAATTTTAATCATTTATGAAATAAATTAAACTTTTGTGGCAATACCTTAAAAATTATTTTGATTAACATTTATAATTTTTTAAAATAATTTACGGTTTATTTGCAAATATAAATCAATATCTAATACATTGTCATTATTTATTCCATGACAAAACAGCGCAGGACAGAATGGCGCAGGACATAATAGCGCAGATGAAATAGCGCAAACGAAATAGCGCAGACAAAATAGCAAGGACAATATAGAGCAGGAAAAATAGCGCAAGACAAAATAGCGCATAACAAAATGGCGCAAGGACAAAATAGAGAGGACAAAATAGCGCAGGGACAAAATCGCACGTAACGAATAAGATGTTTTTTAATTAACGAAATTCAACGGAATAATGCGTAACATAATGGCGGTCGCGCGGATGTTAATTTATGTAGGAATATATACAGACAATGTACTGGCTCCGAGACAAATACATGATATAAATAAAGTGAGAGCAATTAACGTCTAGTCTAATTATAGTGAGTTAAGTTAGCGCTTTTTCAAAAAATAGTGAAACACATTAACGCGTGACAAAACATGCCAGTATTCTAATTAAGATAAAACAAAACTTAAACTAATTTACCTAACCTGTGCGGCCTGGAGCCATGGCGGGTAACTGTATATGGCTCCAGACCACACAAATTAAGTAAATTAGTGTAACCTTTCAACTAAATTAACTGTAATTGCCTCAATAAGTTTATCAACAACATTTGCAAGTTCTTTAATATAAGCTTTTAAGCGATTTATTAAATAATATTTTTACCCTTTTAAAACTATTTTTAAACTTATCTAATTTCTTAAACTTACGGTTAGTTACATTTATATGTCACTGCTTCTTTCGTTATTGTCTTTTAATAGATTTCTATGAAACACTTTTAGTTCTTCTATTAGATTTGAAAATTCCTTTAGCAAACTCATTCCATTATTACGATTATTTTATTTATTCATACCTAAAAAGCTGAAAAAGAGAAAAAAATCTTCTGGTATTTCCTTCTCTAAACTAATTCTTGGCTAGCTCTAATTTGTTTAGCCACATTTCTCTCTAACATTTTCTTGCATTTCTTGTAAACTAGCATCAACAAAAATACGAATGCTAATCAGGGCCGCCGAGAGCCAGGCCGGGCCCCAGGACAATTCTCAACATCGGGCTCCGTGGCAAAAAAAAACTTAGAATGAAAATATAATTTTCTAAAAAAAAGGGCCTCATCTTGTGTCGAATTTCTAACAAAACAAAAAATTTTGCCGGGCCGCCTCTACAGCGCTGCCGGGCCCCCATTTAAGCCCGGGCCCCGGGAATTAGTCCCGGCTACCCCCCCCCCCCTCTGGTCGGGCCTGATGCCAATACCACGAACATTGCTTGTATAATATTTTTGGGTGTGAAAAATTCTGTTGTATTTGCTTGACATCCACTGTTTCCGCTTTGAGCGATTATTACTTCTTTCTTAACCTATCTAGAATATAATAAAATACGTTCCGTAACCTAATTATACCCAAGTTCAAGGAACTATAATAACTACAAAAATTATATACAGTATGATAAATATATTGTCGTATTCTCGTCACAGAGAAAACGATTCCTTACGAATGACGCTGGTTACGGGCGGTTCTCGAGCGCCAGCTTTTTGGTGATGGTTTACTCCACGAACTTTCGAAACGGCGTCGAAAGTACTCGAGTAGCTACAGATGGAGATGAAAAATTCCAGGGGTCAAAGGTCACTTAGACACATGTAATAGTAGGCCACAAGTAACGGGCTTTAATCGTTGCTTGGGCTGGTACACAATTAATCACTAGCTGAAATATAAGGGGGAAATAAATTTAGGAATTAACAACCAGTAATACGGCCAGTTAACATTGACACATATATTATTTTAAAGTATTTACAAAAGAAAATGAATAAATTCATGTATTTCAACGCCCACCCTCACGGTAATATGTACAAACCCTGAACAAAAATAAACAATAAAAACGGACGGAAATGACTTTCGAGTAGTCTCAATCAGACGTAAAGAAAAAAAATGAAATCAATACTTGTAATTATCACGGTTGCAGTAAAATTTTATTATTGAATTGTCTATTCTGTTGTTGAGTTAAAAATGTAACTTGCTATTTCGTTCGGAAGTATTATTTCGGTCGTAGCAAAAATTAACTGTTAAATTGTCTAATCGGTATTTACAATCAAATGTAATTGAATGCTTCAGTAAAGCAAAATATCATATGCGGTTGCAGAGAATGCGAGGTTCGGGACAATACTAATTCCAGGGCTGAAACCGGGACCCTATAAGAGGTTTACTCACTAGTGGTTGGAAAGTAAAACCAACTAACAACCGGGATAGTACATTATCTCTGAGTAAAGCGATCGTAATCACGAGCCGCTTCAAACTGGGGAATGATACTATTTAATGTCAATTAAATAACGGAGTTTTACATAAAAATAAATTTAATAACCGGGATAGCACGTTACCTCTGAATGAGGCGATCGTAATCACGAGCCGCTTCAGACAGGGGAATGGTACTGTTTGAATTCACTTACAATAATGGAGACTAACGCAAATGAGGGTTTCAGACGGAAAATAAACTAATAACCGGGATAGCACATTATCTCTGAATGAGACGATCGTAATCACGAGCCGCTTCAGACAGGGGAATGATACTATTTTAGTTCTGTTGAAATAACGGAGACTTACGCAAATGAATTTTTAGATATAAAATGAACTAATAGCCGGGATAACACCTTATCTCTGGATGAAGCGATCGTAATCACGAGCCGCTTCAAACTGGGAATGATGCTATTTAAATTCTCTTAAAATTAAATTTGCAGTTCGGAGGATAAAACAAAAGAAAAATGTCTCGTCGCAATTCTACAAATATAACCAATCAAAACATTAGATAATTCCCAAACAGTTCCAATCAATTAGTTATTGGTTAATGTTTTTAATAAACTGTATTATTTGTTCACGAAAATTTCCCGCAGTAGGAAAAATTAACTATAAGACTAAATTTACGATTAAATGAAAAATAAATTATTTATCGGTTAAGACTTCAAATAAACTAAAAAGAAATTTATAATTTATTCACATAAATTTCCAGTAGTAGGAAAAATTAACTGTACCACTATATCTACGATCGAATGAAAAATAAATTGTTTAATGGTTAAGACTTTAAATAAACTAAAATAAAATTTATTATTTATTCGCGAAAATTTCCAGTAGTAGGAAAAATTAATTATTCGATTATATTTACAATCAAATGAAAAATAAATTATTTAACGGTTGAAACTTTAAATAACCTAAAATGAAATTAATAAAGAGCGGTGTATTCTAACAAGAACAAATTAAACTATTTCTTAATCAAAACAAATTTCAATTCTTAACTCAACACGGAATATTGTTAATTAAAAATAAATCAAATTAAATCGGTTTCAAATAGCACGGCTTAAAGTCTCGGGCAAGAAAAAAAATTATAAAAAAAACAATGACAACAATTTACCTTTCGGTAAAATCGCGGCTTAAATTTCGGAAATGTATCTATCGTGTTAATTACTCGACTATTAGATTTGACGGTGTAAAAGCAAGTCTGTTCGATAAATCGGTATATTAGGAACTAAAAATTTTATTTCAATCTCGGACTTCGTTCAGTGGTCGAGAACCCTTCCACTACCAGAAAATCCCACCATTTCAATGCGCGCAAGCAAAGTACCTCGACGATGGTTTGAACAGCGATTAAAACTGATGATATACAGGGTATATCCACGAAGTTAAAATTAAGTAAAAATCGAAATTAATACCTGGAATTAGTTAAAAAAAAATAATGAAAATTGACTTCATTACAATATATATAAATACTTATATTATTACATATTTTTTTAATTTTTATTAATTTTATTTCAATTTTTTTTCCAAAGTAATATGCGATGGCTTAAGGCCGCCCAGGTTAGGTAAATTAGTTTTAATTTTAATTAGAATACTGGAATATTTTGACACGCGCTTTAATACCCTGCGCTATTTTGTTCTCTGCTATTTTGTCCTTGCGCTATTTTTTCTTGTGCTATTTTGTCCTTGCGCTATTTTTTCTTGTATTATTTTGTTCTTGCGCTATTTTGTCCTTGCACTATTTTGTCTGTGCTGTTTTGTCTGCGCTATTTTGTCTGCGCTATTATAACCTACGCCATTTTGTCCTGCGCTGCTTTGTCATAGAGCCTTTAAAAAGTACCTACATAGTATTAAGTCTTGTACGATGGTGCGGAACCCTTCATGCGTGAGTCCGACTCGAACTTGGCCGGTTTTTTAATTGCATTTTACTGCTATAACAAAATATTAACTAAAAAATGTACTGACAATTTTAGTTTGACAGAATTGTCAATTATTTATAGTCTCAACACTATTTATTGAGTATCTCAAAACTTTTTTGAGATAAAAACTGATTTAATAATCACCCAATTTCATTCAAAATAACCGTTGAAGAAAAAACAACTATAACTTACCTGATTATCAAATTAAATTAAATTAAAAAACAATATTTTTCTCAAGTTAAAAAAATATTCGCATTGTTCCTCCGGGCGTAGAAAAAATATGCAACTAGTGCCAAAAGAATTATTTTTTTTATTACTCGTAGAAATATGTAGATTGGATTTTAAATGTAAATTGGTTGAGATTAGCTTTTAGGTGTAATGATAGGACTGTTGACTCTATAATTATCTTTTTTTTATAGAATTTCACTCTTGGAATATTTACCTCATGATAAGCTCCTTACCAGCCCTGGCTAGTGGTATAGCTTTTATTTTTTTACCTGAGAGTCCAAAATTTTTAATGTCTATTGGTGATAACGAAAAAGCGTTGGACGTATTTAAAGAGGTATACAGGGTGAACACCGGATTTTCAGCTGAAAGTTACCCAGTAAGTATTATAACTTATATTATACAGTTTAATTATACTAATTTACATTCACTACTTATCCACTTATTTTATAACTAATTTATTTGTAATCAAAACTACACTGAATTATATTTAACAATTTTTCTTTACTCAGCAATATTTATTTCTAAACTAACTCAGTAGCGGCAAAAGAATTCACTTATAAACAAAAATGTAATGGCCTAGAAAAATCCAGTGTTGTCTTAAAGAATTCCGATGCTCTAGACGTTCTCGAAACCCTTCCTTTACGAGTCGGCCAGGTGCAAAGAACCTTCTAGTAACCTCTCGACTCTCGAGGCGGGCAGCAAAAGCAAAACACAGACGAGCTGAACAGCTATAGCGTAAACAAAGATCAAGGCCGCACTGGTTGAAACTGGCTCGCACGACATTACTACACAAATGTTTGTTCTTTCTCTAAATACTGCAATGAAATGGATATCAAGAAAAGATAACTGAATTTTATTTTGCTGTGGTATAGAACCATAAAAATCAAATAGTTAAAATCAAACTTCATTTTCTAGCCATGTCTTTTTCTTTTCTCTGTAGATAAAATATTTGGTGGACGAAACGAAAATCAACAATTTTGACATAAGCAGCACTACCAGCGATGTGATTGTGGCTAAAACGACGCAGCAATTTTTTAAAGAGGGGATTCACCAAATAAAGCCGATATTCGTCGCTCCTCAAATAACGAAGATTCTTTTGGTTTTTCTGTTGCAATTTATGATTATGATGGGGTAAGTTAAAAAATTCATATCATTATTGTTGTTTTTTTATAAAAATATGAGCCTTTTGTACTACATACTCTATATTTTAAACCTCTGCATTGACTTGATGTAAAAGGGCTCTAGTGGCCTAATTGGTAAAGGTAACGAGGCCTAAACTTGGATATCCAGATTCGATCCTTGGCTTGGGTACATTTTTCTTTTCGGTTTTTTATATTATTTTTCTTTGTTATGTTTTCACCTTGGGGTTGTGGAGAGGGATTCCTTAATTTCATAGGTGGAATTGAAGTTTTCATTTTCACATTTCCAAATGCATTTTATACTTGTTCCCAGGGGCGAGTGGGACATTCGAATCGGACCAGTAATAACAAAGTTACCTTTTCGTATACCCCTGTATATTCAATTATCAAATAGCGTCGGTGTCGGTTGAATACATGGAGTTATAAGGTAGGGAGACGCTATAAGTATCTTTTGTCAACCCAATATGGCCGATCCAGATACGGACTTTTCTGAATGAAACCCAAATCTACATTTCTATTTTTTAGAAAATGTAAGCAATATTTATTAATTGTTATAAAATGGATGATTAAGGTCATAAAAACTAATTTTTAATAATTCCACCGAGAATTCCACTTATTGATAAAATAAGTGAATAAAAATTGTGGAAGATAGTATTTTATAGAATAATAAAGTCTAGAAATTTCATTTAATATATCATGGTTTAACATAACTGTTATTTTAGACCGAAAGGTAATAATTGAAAATATATTATGGCAAAATAACAAATAATATAAAAATTATATTTATATTGGCAATTAAAAAATACAATTTTATTGTTATGATGTCTTATGCTATCACATTTTTTTATTTTATTTTTAATGAGGTAAAACATCCTAATGTAGTTAAGTCATACAAGGGATGCTGATCAAACCTGTACAATTTTCAAATATATTTTTATTTTTAAATGACTTGTAGCACTGAACACACTACACATTGTACTAAAATAAGGTGGATAATTTAAAGTAATAGCTCCTTTTTATTATTTGTTCACATTAAAGACAAATGTCTAACATCCATAGAGCATAGAGGGATATACTGTAGGCTCTTTTATTTTTTTGTCAATAAACGAAAATATTTGTGCCGATTTAGGCGGGACAGTCCCGTTTTAACATGTGTTCCGCTTTTGTCTAACGAAAAACAGATAAATATTTCAATTTTTATGGTGACGTGACATCCGACTCTTTTATATATATTTTTTTTGCTCTTAAATGAACCAAACCGTCACCACCGCAAATAGAATTCGTAGAAATATATCCTTGTTTTCGATTTGTCCCGTTTTCTACTTTTCAAAATATGGTCGCTTTAAATTATGTATAACAATATATTTTGTTAATCCCGATGGCGTTAGATTTAGTAAATAATTTGATCATGCTTAGTAACGTCTCTTAGCACACTATCGTAACTCTCTGATAAGCCAAGTGCTCTATAGATTCTTGACGATTCGTTGATTTGACGAAGAGGACATTTTAAAATTCGAAGCCTTTCTAGAGGAATACAATTTCCACGAAAACTTCAACATGTACCTACTAATAATTTTTGTAAGTTACGGACTTATTTTCAAACTTAAAAGTACTCATTTCTCTCAAGATTTTCATGTGAAACGTCATATGTCAACGTGAAAACAGTATTTTTAAAGTCTATGAGAATTCAAATTCTTGGGAGAATTTTAATCCTCTCGAAATAAACCAAAAGAAACAGTCTGCTAGTTTTCACTGGCTTTAAAAATACTGTTTTTACGATGACGTATGACATTTCTCATGAAAATCTTGAGAGAAATCACTTTCTTTCGAGTTTAAAAATAGCTCCGCAGAAATTGCTGGCAGGTGTTGTTATTGTTGTGGCCTCCATGTAAGCGAATACGATGGTCTTGAGATATTTGGTATATTGGTAAAAACTGTAAATGTGAGTCGGTGTTGTAAATTAGGTGTTTTTAAGGCACTTATCCATGTCATTTAAAAAAGTTTCTATATCTTCATAATTTTTTTAAAGACAAATGTGTTTTATAATGAAACTGAAGAAAATTTCTAGAATTTAAGATAACAAAGAGAATATTTATGAATATTTTAAATCCAATTTTTGCACCAACTTCAGCAAATTCTCTCATTTTTAATTCATCTTTACAAAACCCTAATATGGTTACAACACTCTCACTCAAAGCACAATTAATATCTTAAATACGGTCCTGCACATTATTTACTATGTTGTATATTAGTTGTGGAATGTTATTTCAGATAATTTCTTCATATAAATATCTATTAGGTTGCTACAAATACGTTGAGCACAAGCAACCAATGTTTAACTTTTAATATGTACAATATATTTAATTTGAAAACGACATAAAAATAGAAAAAACGTTGATTGAAACCACTATTAGCTGTTTGAAGGATTCGTGAACACAATATGGCGGAAGTGAATCCGTCTTGGACCACGTGACAGCGTCTCCCTACCTTCTACCTCCATGATAAAGTGATATGTGACAGTTGGCGCATTCTAGTGGCGATTAGATGAAGTGACAGTTGATAAATAACCGGTGGCACCTTCTAGCGACAGATAGATAAAGCATTCACGAGAACGGTTTTAATAGCTTTTAATTTTTAATTTTCTCTTCTTTCTTCATAAGTATAATAAATGGTGAATTACATAAACTTTATTTTATTTTTAATATGGAACAAATGTAAAGAGTATTATACAAAATCAATCAATCTTAGTTTCTCTTATAATTCAAAAAATAAAAGAAAAATATAGAGTCATATGTGGCAGTTTCGTATTTAAATCTGAAAGCCACACTCACCCATTGATAAATTAGATCGATTTTTCTGATGGACTGTATTTCAGCCGTTAAATCTTTCTATACAAGTTTTTATATAAGTACATATAAGAATAAATAATGAATTTATATTTAGGGAATAAAAGAAGCAAACATACACGACTTATGCACTACTTTATAATATGTCTAAACTTTTGATAAAGACAAATTATGTTTATAATTAACAACCTATGATTTATGACAACTAGATAACTTTCTATTTGAGTATATGATTTGGACTTATTAACAAATCATTGAATAAATTAAACTAATGTGAGATATATAAATGTGGGACGAAAATGGAAAATTGGCATTTATAAGGAAATCAACCTCTGATACCTCTAATACACAAATTACTGCACAAAACTTTACTTTACACCTTAAGGTGCTTCGGGACCTAGAGTCCCGAGGATACCGTAAATACTGGAGAGGCCTAATAGCCTGAGTTTCGGACCGCAGCCCTTACTTGAGTCTCCTGCTGAAGTCTAGTCAGTCTATTTTAAATCCAAAATTTACGTGACAGTTCAATTTTTACTTTTTAGAATGTCAACGTACTACCATGTATAAATGTATAGTTCAATGTAAGTCATTAACTAGAGTAATAACCTAATTGTTTAGTTTATTTCAATACGTGTGTTTTTTTTTTTGAATTTTTAGATAAAACATTAAATAATACTTTCTAGAAATGTTGTGTAATTCTTTATATTTTACTAATAATAATGCCAATTATTACAGTGGCTTGGGTTTGCGTCAACATCTCCATTTCTTACAGCTGGACCAATAATTCGTTGCTATCTATTGGTTTTTGAAGGTTAGCTGTATCACGAAAAGAAAGGGTGACGTAATCGCTTTACCGATTTCGAAACAATCGAGAAAATCCAGAGACGGCTCAAAGCAAAACAAAACAAATGAAATCCTGTTCAAAATATTGAAGTATTTTAACAGTCATCTTTGTTATTTACAGTTTGAACACGCTGAGATTATGGTTGCCTCAAATATATCAAGCGATGAACGATTACCAATTTTACCACAACGAAAGCGCCACCCTTTGCGAAAGTCTTGAAGTTTTTCAGCCTAAAAATGACGGAATTAATATCACCAAAATTACGCAGTGTGTAGTGGTAAGTAAAAAAAAACCATCGGATCTGACATGATATAAAAAATTTAATTTTTAGAATTCCAACAACACTGAAGTATATACAAATTCTATGTTAGTAGCGACCACTAGTATCATTGGCTATATTACAGCAGGAACTTTGATCAATTCCTTGGGAAAGAAAAAATTACTAGGTAATTACCATTTTGAATTTTTGCTTTAGTTTATCTTGTATTAACATTTTGTAAACATTCAGTAAATGAAAATAAAAATCGACCTGTCTCGGTAATTTCCATAAATATTTATTTTTTACCTAAAATTGAACTTATACAGTGTGTCTACTTAAGTTGGCACCATATGGAATTCTTTTTTATTATTAGCTTTATTCAAAAAGGTTATTCTTTATGGTCTAAAACCTACAATACAATGATCAAATATCAAATTTTTTCAGTCATGTACGAGGTTCATAAAAAAATATGAATTTAATGCAAGATTAAAGAACCTTAGTTTTTAAAATATCGAAAATGTTTATTAAGAGAAGTTAATCAGAATGGAAAACTGTCGTTTTCTAGTTGTGTTAGTATTGTATTGACGGTGCGAAGATATAAAAATATTCATATATACATGGTATTCTACAAATATACATGGGATGATACTTCTATAACATCAATGTGTGTTCTATTTTTTTACCTAACTTTATTAGGTATAAAAAAGTGTAGTAAAATATCTCTTTTTTTACTAAACTATTTTTTGTTTGCCACATTTTCTTACTTCTCCTGAGGTTTAACTTATCTGGGGATTTTTAACTTGATCCTTCCTCTATGTCCTCCATTCGTTTCCAAATGACTGGCACAAAAAGAGAATCACTAAAATATTTTCTTTAAAATCATAAAATATGTATTTATTTTTGCTTTGGCTTGGAATTTGTAAACGTTTATTATTGTTAAGATTATTTAACACTTATTTAAGCTTGGATCCGTAATAACAAAAGTCATAACATTGTAATAAAATAAAAGAAAAATAAAGTGGCAATATTTAATTAAAACAAATATTCAGATAACCATATAAAATCAGTTATACATGTCAAAAAAATTAAATTAATAACTGGTATTGCCCCCTCTGGCTCGAATACAAGCTTCCATACGTCTATGCATCCCTTCCACCAAGTGTCTTATGCCATTTTGGTCCAACTGTTCCCATATGTCAATTAGCATATTTCTAAGTTCTTCCAAGGTGTCTGGAGCTGGTACACGCGATCTAAGTTGTCTGCCCATCATGTCCCAGACATGTTCAATGGGATTTAAGTCGGGGCTCCATTGTCTCAATACCGACGTCAATAAGATACTGACGTACTGCCCTGGCAATATGTGGTCGAGCATTATCATGCACAAGAATAAAATTGTTGCCAATTAGAGGTGCAAATCGAATGACGTGATCTTATAAAACTTCTCTTGTATACCGATCTGCATTCAATGATCCTCCTTCCACCACGACAAGTTTCGTGCGGTAGTCCGTAGTGATGCCTCCCCAAACCATTACCGACCCGCCATTAAAACTAACACGTGGAACGATATTGCACTGTGCGTACCTTTCTCCAGCTCTTCTCCATACCCTTTGGCGACCATCAGGTGATCTTAGGCACAATCTAGACTCGTCAGAAAAGAGCACTTGGCTCCATTGATTTATGTTCAAATGAAGGTGCTCTCGAGCAAATTGAAGACGAGCTACTCGATGATGTGGGAGAAGTTCTGGGGCATTAGCAGGCCATCGAGTAATTAAGCTAACTGCATTCAGGCGTCTTCTTACTGTTCTCTCACTTACATTCATTTCCCGAACTTCTTCAAGTCGATTTCTTGCTTGAACAGCAGTGGCATCCCGATGTCGAAGAATAAAAAGATGTAAAAAACGATCGTCTACAGGCAATATGGATCTTGTCATGACCGAACCAGGTCTTCTAGTGTAATTTCCATTTTCAAGAAAACGCCATATGTTCTATGGATTTTCGCCTGTGATACTCCAAGAAGATTAGCTACATAACGCTGACTACGACCATCCTCAATAAGAGCAATGGCGCGAGCAGCATCTGTTGGTGAGAGTGCCATTATTTGAATAAATGTACGTTAATTAATTAAATTTAGGACGAAATAAATTAATACCGAAGGTCGCAAGTCGAAAACTAATTTCAAACTGACGTAAAAATAACCCGAAAAATAATTTTAGGCCCTAAAAAAGTGATAAAATGATAAACAAGTTACAAAAAAATACGCCAAATATACTTATTAGCAACTTGACAATAAAAAATATCCTTATCAACAACAAAAAATAAAAGATAGATGAAATATTTTAAAAATTATCTGTGATTCTCTTTTTTTGCCGGTCGGTGTATAATGAATTAATATATGTAAATTAAAATTTCCAAAATTAATTTATGGGTTACTTTACTGGCGCATTCTATACTTAATATTGTTTGAATTTTTAGGAATTTTAGGATTGATTTCTGGATCTATGGCTATGACGCTATATTTTTCAAAAACAGTAGCGTCCACTATAGCGTTTTCGGCCATGTTTGTGACATTTGGTAGCATTGGAATTAATGTAATATTAGCGGTTGTAGTGGATCTTATTCCTACATCTTTAAGGTATTTATTTTATGACAAAAAAACAGTGTGTAAAGAGATAGTAAATGCCCAGAAATGTTTTGCGATAATCAGCCTTAAAACCAGTAAACATTGACGTGTGTTTTTAAGATAAAAGGAAATTAATGAACACAATATTTTATAATATATATAAAATAAAAATAAATTAGTTTTTATAGCAAAATATTTCTACGAATTTACAAATATTGTGAAGACCGTATTTTTATTAAATTGAAGAAAATCTGACTCAATAAAGATTGATAATAAAAGAACTTGATGACGATGTCTGGATTTGATTATTAAATTTTATGTATATTTGTTTGCCTCTATTATATTCATTTATTAACGAAAAAATTATTAATTGATAATCATTAATAAACATTGTATATTGCAGAACCATGGCAGTGTCCCTTACAATGATGTTTGGTAGATTTGGAGCAGCGTTAGGAAATTTAATTTTCCCTTATTTATTAGAATCTGGATGTGCGCCCCCATTTTTCTCTGTCGGATCTGTGATGATTGGTAAGTCCCATTTCTAACTGACATAAATATATTATCATTCTTAAAAAAGAGTTGGTTTTATTATTTAATTAGAGAACACTACTTTCTTTTTGACAGACAAATTTTTATTCAGTTTGATCTTATTTGAAAAGTAACTTTTGTGCATTCTGTATCTTAAAGGATCATTGTAATAAGATTGTCCTGTCTTCTGATGGGTTTAACTGCAGTTTAATTTTTATTTGTTTTCAGGCTGTGCTTTCTTAGCATACTTCCTTCCGGATACGGACATGAAAGCATTGCTATAGAAAGTCGTAAGTTATATAAAAATTTAGTGGCAAAGACGTGCTTAAGTCAAACATTCCAAACTTGCAGAATAAAATACTATTTAGAAACTTCCATCCAACATATTTTATCGAAATAAAAATGTTAATACGGCGGTGCGTCATAAAATTTTATCATATTGGGATTTTGTTACTTGAATGAAAAAAAATATATGTTTTTCCAATTGTGTAATTTAAAAAAAAATCCCATATGGATCCAACTTTATGGCAGACACTGTATAAAACAGAACTTGTTAAAAATATATAATCATGCTTTTTACATTTCCACGAAGCAATGCATCCAATAAATTCACAGTAAATAAAATCTAACATTCTTTTCTTTTTATTTTAAATGTAAATCTAATACCCCTTACTATTATTTATTTTGTCTGAATTCGCCTAAAGTTCCCGTACTAATAATTGTTTCAGAAAAAATAATTATTTACGTTTTTTACTTACTTATTTATTTCATTAATTGATAAGGTGATCATAGACAAAAAATCCAATATTAAATTTTTTGACTCTCTGTAACGGAAAGAGAAACGCATAAAACGTATAGTGAGGTTTGATAATAAAACGCCTTAGATGTAAGTCACACCAATAACACATGAATGTATAACTGGTTGTCTACTCATTAGGTAAATTTTCATTTTGTGTTAGTTTTTAACACATTTCTCTTACAAGAGTTAAAAAATAATTTTAAAAAGACAGAACATTTGAAAGACTGGTGATTCATCACTTAAAACATATTAAACGATGCTGCCAATTCGCATTTTTGATGTATTTGATTAAGCACGGCGTTGTTAAGTTTTAAGTATAAATTAAAACGACTGTAATTTATTTTAATCTTAAGTGTAAGTAATACAATATATCAGTATTTTTTATTACATCACTGTATCGTAATTTATTTTAATTTCTATATGTCTGTAACCTATAAAATAAAATTATTAGTTCTAATATTGTATTTTTATTAATATTTATAATAAATATTTTCTGCACAAAATATAGAATTGGAGAAAAATATTTTACCAGCGTATTATACAGGGTGAAAATGAGGCAGGAAGTTTCTAAAAAAATAGTGTGTTCCATAAAGTTGGATCCATATACGAGATTGAAAACAAAGTCGTAGGGCATTTACCTCGGCGTTTTTAAAAAACTTAAAATCGCCTATACTAAAGTTGGCTACGTTTTTTTGAAAAATTGTTTTTTTTAATGATAATTTGAAAAAACTAATGTCAACGTTAACATAGGATATTTTAAGTTTTTAATTAAGTAGAGGTAATTGCATACGTTGTTTTCAATAGAAATATTAAAAAAAATCCACATATGGATCCACCTTTATGGAACACACTGTATATCCAAAAATGCCTTACAAGGGAGAAACGATCAATTGAAGAGAACCCTCTGAAGACAGATATTTTCGAAACCGGTACTGATAAAAGCTTCGAATTTTAGATTTCTTTTAAAATTGATGTTCTGAATGTGACTATAGTTCCGAAAAACTATCAGTTTTATTGATCCGAAAACAAAGATAATAATAATAATTTATTCACAAAAAAATACAATAATAATTACAATTACAAAGTAATTATTATATCAATTTAAAAAACAGTATCTGTTATTAAAATATACTCGATAAGCGTTATAACGCTTGTTTCGAAAAAAACAAAAGAAATATATTTAAAATCTAAAATAATATTTAAAAGTAACATAAACTACTAAAATCGATTTAAACATAAATAAATTAAAAATATAACATAATGTAGCTATTACAAATTAGATTAGCATTTTTTAATTTTATTTTTTTTATTTTATTAAAAAAAAACTCAAAAATTCAAAAATCTAAAATCTTAAAAACCTGCACAATCATTTTTTTTGGGATAATGTTTAATTTTCAAAATAACCATGGATCATACTGCGAGAGTTGGCTAGAATAAATTGTTTGTCTTTTTTAAAAGTATACAAGTTTGATTCAGTTTGAATGCTCTTAGGAATTATATTGTACAGGTTGGGTGCGAAATAGGAAAATGATCTCTGTGAAACCACTTTAAACATCAATGGAGCTAAATAACGACATTTTTGTCTAGTATTATCTTCATGATATACTTACTAGACCTTTATTTTTGTTTCAGTATATAAGGTTTCTGTAGGATATCTAGATTTTTTTGAATAAATTCACTTTAGAAATCGCCTTTGTGTGACTTCTAAAGAGTGAAGGTGTATTTTCAAAGCTGCACCCCACACAGTGATTGCATACTGAAGAAGGCTTTCAACTAGAGCACAATAAAGGGTTTTAAGATGGTGTAATGGTAAAATATCTTTCAAAAATTTGAATTTGTACAAAATACTGCGTAGTTTATTTACCGTGTAGGATATTTGTAGGTTCCATTTTAAATAAGGGTCTATTATTACTACAAGGTATTTTTTTTAGGAACAGCAGTGTTAATTAGAACCCAACAGTGAATGGTCGTTTTTTTTTTAATTTTAATACAAGTTCTCAGCGTATTATATTTTTTTCAATGCAATTAGACCGCAGAAGGATCTTTGTACAAATCAAATTTTAAAAATTATCTTTAACATTTGAACAAGTAACACTCAACCTAAGCCGGCTCTGATCAGCATGTTGGCGAACGGTTCAAGGGTTGTCAGATCATTGCGCTTTCGAGATTATCTTGCAATGGACTATATATTACTCCTATTTATTAACTTAAAAGTATTATAGTGGATACTTTTTTATATATTTATTATTTATAGTGTAGTTTTTTGTCATTTTACTGGTAAACGTTATTATTAGTAAGAGATAAACCCAAACTATGGGAAGATAAAAATAATTAACCTTAAACATGACAATCCCACCGGACCCACACGTCAAGCGATTGATTGGTTACACCTCACACAAACTGAAATTTTTAAGTGGCAGAGTACGTGATTACAAAAATGTAATAGAATTATAACGATTTTCAAAATCTGTGTAACTTCATTTTAATTAGCAAGTACAATAACATATTTTACACTTTCTATTAACTTTTTACATCATTCCCTCATTGACGCATGGATGATTTTCAGATAGCTACTCTTTCTTGTATTGGTATGGTGAGATGACAAAAAAAAACTGTGACTTTCAATACTATAAAACTTTTATTACTGAATTCATTTATAAATAATACAGGTACATACATTTTTCATATTTTATAACAAATTATAATAAAGTAAAAATAGTGCTAGCGTTATCAAGAATACAGTTAAAGAGTCTCTTCACTTTTTAAGTCTGAAAACACAAAATGGACCTTAATGTAAGATCTCAATTGGTGAACACCAAATAAAACAAAACGGTCCACCACGAAATCACATTTCTGTGAACCGATCCAAGTAGAAAAAAAAACAGTAAACAAACGTTTAAAATATTAAACAAATCTACATGGAGCCCAACAAGTGACTAAATATAAAAATATATATAATATAATTAACACCTTAAACCTAATTACTAGACTTGTTGCCAATTATGTTACCTAGTTACCTACTAAATTACTACTTGTTAATCATTATCTTAAACAAATTATCTCTGAAATTGTTCACCATTTTTTCCAATTCTTCCACTTGTGCTTTCAGCTTAATATTTTTAATGTTTAATTCGTCGGCCTCCTGTTCCAGAATGAGTTCCTTCGTTTTCCGTTTGAGTCTCGATTTACGAGACGCCTCGTTGTTTTTGTCTCTCAACTCTCTATACCTGAAAAGATAAAAATAAACATCAGTAATGTTGAGAAATAACAATTAGGCAATCCAAATCACATGACTTGGCAAAAACAACAAAAGTAGTACTTTCTGTTGACAAAAACACTTCTAGTGAGGGTATTAGTGTCTAAGTTTGTATTATTTTTAGTGTCAGTAGTTTTATTTCAGTGTATTTAGGTGATTTGAATACTAATTGTATGATTTACAATAGGTCTGTTCCAACAACGATCAGAAACCAGTCATCAACACCAGGATTCTGCACAGTAGATTATTAGGACCGTCAAATTATATACTGCACAGAGTCCAAGTGTCAATAACTGGTTTCGTGGTTTCTTACCGTTGTTGGAACAGTCAAATATTAATGAATAAAATTTGTTGTTTTTGCCAACAATCAGCCATTTTTGTCCATTGTGACAGGAAATTAATTTGATTGCCAAATTGAAACTTGTACTAAACTTCCACCCAACGTCATTCGATGGATACCAAAGTTGATTTCTGCACATGTTACTACTTACTTGGAACCGTCACCATCCCTTCCTAGAGAACAATCAGATGAAATAGATTCTGTCCTCCTCTTCGGAGGTCTTCCTCTAGCTTTTTTCCTAGGCCTATCGTCCTCCTCCTCTTCACTGTCAGACTCGGAATATTCCTGGATAACCCTACTTTTCTTACGATAAGTATTAGACTTTTTAGTAGGAGGAACATAGTCTTCGTCGTCGTCATCTTCGTCTGGCTTTGAGCGCCGTTTCCTAGGTTGTTTAACAGCTATCCTCTTCTGAGATTGGTCGAGCGATTTTTGGCCGTAAGGATGTGACGTTGGCGAGAATATATCGTCAGTAGTTATGGGCAGATTATCCTGAAAATAAAAAAATGTGAAACACTACAACATTGGAAGGAAATTGAAGTTTTAAAGCAGAATTTTGTTAAAATGATGAAAATTCTTACCTCGTTGATGAGGTCCAAGATGTTAAATCCTGTGGCTTCTAGATTGACGACTTCGGCTATCAAATTGGGCGTACTAACGTCCAAGATGGCGGTCTGGTTGTCCAAATTCGCCAAATTGATGTCCATAGACAGCTTAGGCACTCCCGGAGTGGCGATTTTAAAGGATTTCTCGCTGGCATCGGGAGTGATCTGACTGTAGTACTCGGTTTTGTAGGATTTCTCGCTGGCATCGGGAGTGATCTGACTGTAGTACTCGGTTTTGTAGGATTTTTCACTGCCCTCGGGAGTAATCTGACTGTAGTACTTGGGTTTGTAGGATTTTTCACTGCCCTCGGGCGTAACTTGCCCGTACGGCGAAGAGTTCCTACTGCTTAGATTAACACTAACACTATTGTTCATGTCTAAGTCGAAGACCGTTTGGTTTTCGGGCGACATGGTCTCAATGTATGTACCGTTTTCCGACGCGGGCGGTGAATATATTACGTTCGCGTCGGTTTCATTTAGTCGAATATTTTCTAGCGGTAAGATGGTTACGTTTCGACGCATTATTGAATCTGCATTCAAGAAAATGTCCTTGTTAGTATTGAACTCTTGATGCGGCTGGTAATCGGCGGCGTTGACGCCGCCACCGTTGCGGCAAAATTGTGTGTCGTATTTCAACGTAACATGTACGTCGGCATGGACATTTTTCTCGTAATTTAAGATGTCGAAATCAAAAGCATCTTTATCTGTAATAAAAAAAAAAGTAGACATCAGTCAAAGGGGCATCTTATGACATTTCAGCGAAACTTTTTCGCTTCTACAGAAGAACAAGGACGCAAGTGAAAATTCAATATGAAGCTTACAACTGAGACGTTAAGGAACAATTTGGAAATAATCCATGGCGACTATGAAAAAGCAATTTATTTTAGTTTTCGTTCTTCCACCATAATTAACTCAAAAAGTCAACATTTTCACTTGCGTTATTGTTCTTCGGGAGAAACGTTTTATTGTGCAGCAACAAAGCCGATTATCAAAACTTTATGAGTACTTACCGAATATTGGAGTGTTGAGTTCATCTATACAGTTTGAGAACGTCCGCTTTTGCGGGACGAAGGGCGAGAGGTCGCCAAATTCCTCCATTTCCAATTTGATTTTCCTCGCTGGCCCGTAAAACCCACCACAGCTTATTCCGTCCTGGTTTTGTGGTGAAACACTGGATTCGACCTGAAAATAAAATAGAAAAAAGAAATTAGTTTTGACACTAACAAAATAATCATCAACTGCGACTTTACTTACTCCTTTTTTTTTAATATTCTAATAGTTTTTTTTTGTTTCTACTATTTATTGATATAGCAGAGACCAATTAACCAAAGGTTTTTATATGTATTTGTACCGTAAAGAAAATGGGTGATTATACTAGATAACAAAAAGTGAAAAAAGATCGAGCAAAGGGAGAAACTGTCTAAAAGGCTTAAAAATGTACACGACAGAAAGAATAAGGCAAAAAATAAAGATCTGAAAACAGATAAGAACACTCTTTAGTAGGAGAGCCCGCGATCAGAATTTCGTGTTATCACATGTGTAATTTCAAGATCCATGAAGTTATTTTCATTCGTCAACCCTTAGTTATGATAAAATTAAAAATGAGCCAATTTAACATCGCCATTATAAAAAGTTTTTATTAATTTCAATGTATCATTCATTTGTCCAAGTTTGTACAACTTAAATTTTCGTTGGTCCACCCTTTAAAAAGAGTTATGCAAAGTTAAAAATTTGGGCCAAATTTAACATCAATACCGACATAAAAACTTTATTAAATTCAATGTGGTATTCGATTGTCCATGATTTGTCCAAGTTTGTCCTGTTGAAGTAGATATCTCCAATGGTAATAAGGCTGGCTCATCCTCATCAGTACATGTGTTCAAAAGATTTATATTATTAAATGTGGAGGGACCGAATAAAAAATTACTATCAAAATTACTTTTTATTCAACTTAATATAAAAGGTGACTGTTATCGACTATACAGAGTGACAATTTGAAAACGAAACGGAGCAAATTTTGTGAACCCCAGGTCATCTACGAAAAACCGTTTGGACCCGTCAATTTTTGATTTTAAAGAGAAAAATTTGTTTGCAAATTTCTCCTCCTGAACGGAAATCCTCTAGCGGAGGTGAGACTCACCCCTAAAATCTTACATGGAAAGAGGGGTCGAATGATATCTTATTTTAAGGGGATTTTTACCTACATTATAACCCCCGAGTTTTACAACGCTTCTATCTACGTAGCCCATACAGTGGCTCACCAAAAGTACAAAACTGGTTTAACATAATTTGTACACTGTTATTAAAAAAAAAAAGAATGTTTTGCAACAATTCTAGTTTTATTCCTGTTGCCTTCAATTACTGTTATCAGATGACATTCTTTGGTCACCGTAAAGTAGTAAGGTTTAGTTTATTTCGTTGTAGTTGGCATAAAAGTGGCATATTAGTGATAATGGTTTACGCTGAGAGGGTGCTCACTTTTTTGCGAACAATGACTGTGCTAATAGAACTGCCCAACTGTTTAACAATGAACATCAAAATCGACAAGTCCATTGAAAGGATATTTTGGTATTAGTTTAAAAATTTCGGGAAACGGAGTCAGTAGCTAACAAAAAACGTGAAATGGAAAATGCTGTAGTAAATGAAGCTACAGAAGTGGCGATTTTTGGGCATGTTGTTCAAGAACCCACATGAGTACAAGATAGTTGGCGATAACATGTGGTATTAAGAGCAGTATTCAGAAGATATTGAAAAAACACAAGTTTCATCCCTACAAAATACATCTGGTACAAGAACTTAACGAAGACGATTTTGATAAGGGATGAAATTATAATTGAACGGGCAATAAATGATCAGCACTTTTTTTTTTCAAAGTGTTTTTGCTGACGAATGCATTTTTTTTCCTAAATGGTACGGTAAATCGTCACAACTGTCGTTATTGGTCCGATTCAAATCCCAGAATATTTCATGATTTTGCAATTGCAACATCCAGAAAAACTGAATGTTTGGGCTGACATTTTTGGTAACCGTATAATTGGTCCCATTTTTTACCTGGAACTTTAACCGCAAAAATGTATCTGGAATTATTATAAAACGCCATTTATCCAGCATTACTAGAGTTAATTGAGAATGACGATTAGTAGAGCCACAATATACCCATCTGGGTTGCAGTGGAAAGCGATGAGATCATCCCACTCATTTTCAACCTATCCATGACGATTAGTACATAGCAAACAAACAACTTATTTAAACTTATTTAAACGGCAAGATTGAAATTTTCATTTTTTTACGTTGTTTTTTTTTGGGGTAATTTCCAATGATGTCTACTTGGAAACGGAAGTGTCGCGATAACTCTACAGGAGCTCAAAAAACTGGCAGTACAACATTTTATAAATATTCAGTTACTGTTTTTCATGTGTTCTTTGCAATCTAAAACATGCAATTTTATAGAAAAGTGACACGTTGTGATGACAGGAATTTCATCCGGTTATAAAATTTGGAGTTTCGTTTTCCACCGACAAGACACGCATGAAAGAAAATGCAGTTGTAATTTGTCCGAATTCATTAAATTTAGCTTCAACGAAAAAATATATACATAAAAAAAAAGGAAAATTTAACTGTCGCGTTTACTTTTTTATATAAATTACAATCAAAATGGATTTTTTTTCTTTAAGAAAATCCTGGTCGCGGGCTCTCTTGCTAATATGTACCTGAATAGACTATCAAAATCTCAGAACATTAAAGTCTATACAGGAGAGTGTTCCATAATTTATTGGAAATAGAAAAATTGAAGAATTTTGGGGTTAAAATACGGAAATCTTGCAAAAATTCAGAGTTTCATAGAGAGGGTTATTCAAAAATTAAACAAGTTTAAGAAGATTGACAAATGCATTCAAACCTATAAAGAATAAAGTAAAAATTTGTAGAAATCAAAAACTTCTATTAATAATTTTAAAAATTATTAAAAATACCGCAAATTTGTAGTCAGGTAGTCTCTTAAAATAGTTTACAATTTTAGATTTTAAATTTAATCTACTTGTTGGAAATTAATACAAATTTTTACTAGGTATATATATAAAAAAAAAACATATGTTTCGAACTATATGGGAACTTTATATCACTACCAAAATTTGAGTTATTAAAATGTACGCTATTAATCCTCAAAATAGGATATAAAATAAAAATTCAAAAATAAATACAAACCTTTAAAGTTAAAAAATGATAATTCAAAAATAAATGCCAACTTTAACGAGGGCGGTTCACAAATAATTGGGAACTTCTACGGGGGTATATAAAAAAATAGCATTTAACAATTTGGTCGGTAATTTATCAAATTCCTCGTTGGTAAATTACCTTTAGCGGTATATCTGCGGAGACTGTTGCGTAAGTTAAATCTGACCCGTCCGACAACGGATTCACTTCGTAAGGATTGACGCAGATCAGAGAAGCCGGATCCAATGATTCGCCTCCTAGCAAGTGCCTTCTGTTGTCTGCGTTGGCCATGTTCATGTCCTGGTTGGTATAGCTGTCGTTTATCTCGTGAAGTTTTGTTTGCAGATATTTCTCGGTAGGATCCACAAAGGTGGGTAGCTTCGACCGCTGGTACCATGTTGACAGGGACTAGAAAATAAAAGCAACGGACTTGTTAGCAACGATCCAGACTTTGTGAGATAACTTATTTATTTACAGATACTCTTAGAAGGGACAAAAAATCTCTAAGTCTTTTTTTTTAATAGAAATACGCGTGAGACTGTCAATTTAGAGTCAGAGGTTATTGATGGTGTTTCAGTGTCCCTTCCAATATATTTTGCTTCCTCAAAATGGAATTCAAATTTTAGTAAATGCATTTATTAACTAATACTGTCTAAGATATGGAGCAAAAGATTTTAAGATCAATAGTCAAAAAATTGGTTATTTAGATCTAAGATGAGCGCAAATATATTTAATAGGTAATAACTAAACATAATAATAATCTCCTGTCAATTTGCCCAAGAAATCAGAGCTTGTGTAGAAGAGGCATTACTATGAGTTTTTGCCAATGTGCTCCAGGGCAACTTACAGATGATTGATGGTGTAATTTAAGTTAGAGCCAAGGAAAACATCACACTCCATCATACGATTTATAAATACACCAATAAAATGTCAAATTTAAATATTATTTGACAAAAAATTCACAAAATTATTAAAAACTATATTTTTTTAATTATTTGTCTTATCATTTCACTCCATATTCTCGATACATTTCAGTCATTAAAAATTAAAATCACTTAATTTTTTGACGGAACAAATTTTGGTTTATATAAAGGAAGCAAAATCTTTTTGCATTAACAGATCCATTCTATTGTTGCTTGGGTCAATTTATTTTTATTTTCTCTAAATTCCAAAATTTTATGAGATTTTATATCCCTTAATTAAAAATTATATTATCTTAAAAGTAAATCGTATTATAAAGATAGTTCTTAAAAAAAATATGACTTAAAATTTAGAAATTGAGATCTAGCATTTGGCAATGGCCATACAATCGATAATATAAACCTATTTTCATTATAAAATAAAGAATATGCAAAGTTACTAATATCATCGAAATAGAGATGATTTCTCATGTTAGTGTAAGAATGTAAGGAGAGAGACATGTGGACAAGCAGGTATTGAATAATTCAGTAACGTGGTCAGCAATCTAGAACTACAAATTGATCCCTGGTCAAAGAAAAGCGAAGAGAATTTGCTAAAAGATGACCAAAAGGAAGACCACCAGTAGTAACCAGATTTTATGCTAAAATAATGTGCAGTAAAAGATGTAAAATATTTTCGAAAAATACAATTGAAAATTTTAAAAGGGGATTCGGCCTGGTCATGTCAGATCCCAATAAATTTAAAAAACAAGTAATATTTTCTATATTGTTAAAATTTTATTGTTTAGAGATAATTTTTAGAATTTTTTTGGAATCGTAAAATTATTATTCAAGGAAAACTATTTTTATTATACGATCAATCTAGAGATACGTATGATTAATATACAGTGTGTTCCATAAAGTTGGATACATATGGGAATTTTTTTAACATAACGATTGGAAAAAAACGTCATAGGACATTCAACCCTGCTTATTTAAAAACTTAAAATAGCACATATTAAAGTGGCTAGGTAGTGCATTAGGTATCTGTCAAATTCAGTATTTTTTGACGTACTGTTCAAAAAAACATTTTTAAATAGAAATTTGACAGAATACTAATGTCAGTAGCCAACTTTGATATGGGCTATTTTAGGTTTTTACGACGTTTTTTTCCAATCGTAATATTAAAAAAATTCCCATAAAGATCCAACTTTATGAAACACAGTATAACTATACTTATAATTAAATTAAAATAAATTTAACTAGATTAAATTTTAAGAAGATTGAAAGTATACCACAAGTTTCTTCATATTATGGACGTCACCTAGAACATCAGAAAAAAACAAAAACTGATCGTTAGTTACGTTTTTCAACGAAAATTAAAATCTATGACTAAATAATGTTAAATTATTAAAAAAAAAAAAAAATCGCCAATGCAACAAAATTCGACCACTTCATTTCCAATATCACAGATTGCATTTAGTACCTCTTTTGTTATAGAAAAATCCAGTAAATGTTATATAAATTTTTCATTATTTAAGTATATATCATAAAAATAAATTTGCTGACGGCAGCATTTGCAGTTTGAATTGCACCAGATAAGATAAATGTCTATCTAATTAACATACAATTATTATTAACTGCGCAATCAAGTCACAAGATAATTTTAATCTTTTTTTACAAAACTGCAGCTGTAGCAATTCAAAATGGCGTCGTGTCTAGCAGCACGCGAAAACAGTGAATTAAAAAATGTTTAATTAATTGCTGTTAATATAAATAAATACGATAATAGTGGTTGTAATAGTATATTGTTTCACGAGTGACGAAAATAACATTTTTTGAAAAGTAAAACACTATACTTTTTCTACGAACTCTATATTATGTCATGTAGGTACCTACTAAAATAAAAAAAAAACACACGTTAGCAAATGCTTTATTTTGTGTTAGGAATAACAAAAAATTAACCAACAATTAAATATTTCAGAAATATTTATTATTTAAATATTGATTTATTGTTATATTTGAACAATTGTTCAAAATTATGGGGGTATCACACTCAAGCTTTTTATTTATTGAGGTAGATGCCGACATATTTGTTCTACTGTTAAATGTCATTTCAGATGATGATGCGCCATAATCGGATGAACTAGTAGTTTCCTTATTTTGTACAGATTGTAAAATTTTGGTTTGTATTTGGTTTTTACTGTTCGTGGATTCATCAACATATCCTTCCGCAACACTACTAGATTTCCAACCACCATGCTTTTTTAACAGAAGCAAGTCACCTCCTGCATCCACTAATAGCGTTGCGGATGTTCTGCGGAAACAGTGCCCAGTGTAATCTTGAGGATTCGGAAGCGTTAAAAACTGACCAATTTCGTTAGGAAATTTACTGATTTTATTAATTCCAACAACCTGTCTGCTACACTTTCCATTCTGATAGTTAATAAAGAATCTTGAATTAATTTGATCCATGTTTGCGGGACGTAGGCTCATATATTTTTTAGAAATATCATAAAAGGGTCCAGAAATATGAAAAGAACGCGGAACTTTTGTTTTTGTATTACGGATTTTAACTAACAGAATACTTCCAGTATCCTTTACATCGCTTATTGTTAAATCTTTTAGTTCGTGGCAACGACAAGCGCCAGATAATCCAAAAACTAATGCTACCTACAAATATTAGTAGTTATGTATTAAGTATTTGTTAAAATAAAAATAATAATTCCTTTACCTTTGTTATTAAATATTTATAGTCAGGTGCATTCTTTAGGAAAGTCTTTATGTCTTCAGGCGAAAAAATTTTGGATTTTTGGCTTTTAAAACCATCAGATTTTCTTTTCAAAAGCGAACGTAACTTTGGATATTTACTAATATCGACATCATTTTTAACAGAGAGTGTAGTTCTTAGCATCGAATAAATGGACCATAACGTCGACGGTTTAAAATTTGAACATATTTCTCCAAAGTATGCTAGTAGTACAGTTTCCGAAAATGATTTCACTTTATATTTTTCTCTCCAGTCCAAAAATTTGATATAAATTTCTTCATATCTCTTTTTTGATTTGGCCGGTAATAAATCTGAAGAGGTTTCTTCAGCTTTAAAAATAATTTCTGGGGAGTACAATCGCTTTCTGACTCAGACATCATGAAAATGTGTTAAATTTAGGACGAACTGAAACTGACAGTTCTCAAAAGTGATAAAACTTCAAATAAACAAATGAAAACCAGGAAACTAGATGTAGATTGGTTTAATTTGCACTATTTTTATACATTTTTATTTTATCTTTAATTCATTAAAGTTTAGGTAAAAACGCATATAATGAGCATCTTTTTATTTCATTATTAATAATTATAAGCTGCCAAAATATTATACGAGGCGACTGATATATGAAAAAAAGTAAACGTTATGGGATTTTTTCTCACTAGTGACGGAAATCAAGTTTTCGCTGAAAGTATCCTGTGGCGAAAGATGTCTTTTTGTAAGAGTTCGTAGAAAAAATATTTTTTGTAGATTAGTTAGGTATTTCTTTTTTCCTGACGATATTATACAGGTACGAATTTTCTACACGGAAAGTCTATCTCACAACAAAATTTAGTAAAATCAAGTATATTAACAGGGAAGGACCGACGCGAAGCGCGCCAGAGGTCTTTGCCTGATCTGTGCATGTTCCTATTATATCTTGTTCAACTTATTGTAAGATATAGTTTCAGTGTTGAATATTCTATACCTGTAAATACTAAGCAACTTTATTTTTCAAATTATCTCATAAACAGTGAGATTTACCTTTAACATAGTTATTAATTATTAAGTTTATAGATGATAGGATTTTCTAAAATGAATTACACGTTAAAATTAAGTAAACATTTTACTTGTGTTGGTAATCAATGTTTTTTCTTTGAAATGGTTGTATTGAATCACAAAATATTCATATTGTATTATTTACATTTTGTTGTTATATTTAAAATTCCTTGTAGGTACTTTACTGCTATGGAATGCAAGGCCATAATGAAGCCATTAAAAAACTGGGGTTCCCCATAATATTACGACTATTAGTATTTACTGATACTTATTATAAGTAGGTATGCTATGTCCACAGCAGTCAAGTATTATTTGCTCGATAACTGTTAATGACAGGAAAAAACTAATGAATAAATTATAAGTAAATTATTTCTAGTTTCAGAAATACTTCAAAGTTAAAAATTTATTATTGGCAATAACTTTTTATTATTTGATTTTGACGCCAGTCTCATACGAACAAAATGTATAAGGAACCCCTTTAACCCCCAAGATATTAAAAGATTAAAAATTAATATTTAAAAAGTTATTCAATTTAATCTCCCATTATTAAAGTTACACACAATATAGCATTGATCACTTTTATATATTTTAGTTTTTCTTTGTTGCTAGGACACTATTTTGAATTAGTTCCAACACGTGATAGAACCATTTTGTGCTCGAACTCAGTCAACTGCACCACTTATTGAATTAAAGCCTCTATATTGTGAATTAAACACTAATTTATCTGGATTTCGAACAAAAGAGGTTTACAGTCGAAATGCCCAATCATACCAGTCTTATCAATGGTTACCATAGAAAAATACAAAGACATTTTTCAAATCAAATTGGAATTGGTAAAAACTAGGTAACCCTGGACAGAATTTGGAAAATAAACGCTCATGTCAGACTTCTCCAGTAGGTACGTGTGCCTCCATCTATGGGAAGACGGTTGCTTTTTGGCATTTTGAAAGACATTACAATGTAAGGTCCAACTAAAAATTTGTATATAAATGGTAGTATCATGGAAGTGGCATGGAACGAATTAGACACACACAAATGAATGAGTTTTTTTGTTGGACAATTTTTATGAATTTGTAGTTTTGCGAGGGTATTTCAAATTCTTTTTCACATATTTATAAGCCTAACAACAAACTGTATCTATCTTAACGAGAGAAAAAAAAGACTGTTAACCGATTTAAAAAAATCCCAACACACTTAAAACATTTAAAATGATTATAAAAGTACCTACTTCTGACTCAAATATATCCTTTGTTTAAAATAAATTATGACGCATCGATAATATGAATAACAATCTGAAACCGCCCGCAGATTTGTATCAATAAAAACACATTTTTAAAGACATCAAACTGTAAACTACTAATTCAATAATCATTCAAAACAATACCAAATTACAATACGAAATTGATAAAAAAAAATACTGAAAAATAAAAACATGATGACAAATATACAGAGCGATTGATTAGTGACACATAGTGTTGAAAAAATAAACCTTAAAAATACTCACATTAAATTCTTCCTGTCCTTCTCTAAAAATGTTGACTCCCAAAGGGACCTTAGCAGGAATGGAGTTGAGCGTGTGAAACTCTCAACCTGTAACAAAGGAAATTGCCATTAGCATATAAATAGCATCAGATAAAACCTAAAATAACTTTAAAATGGTTTATATTGCAAGCTCAATATTTGAGCACATGGGAATATTTTTGTGTATCGTATCATCGAGATAGACATAAAGACTATTTTGCGTTATGACATATGGAAGCACTTCGAGTGACGGAAAAGTGAAATGAAAATGGCGACTTGAGTAGTACTTTGATTTCATTGAAGTTAACAATTTTATATTTGAAGAAAGACGGAACGAAAATGATTTTATATCATTTAAATGAAGCTATTTAACAAAAATTGCATTTATTTTCACCAAAACTGACTAGCTCCGCTATCTCGAGTAAAAATGTAATGCAAAGGTGCGGACACTTTAGCATCGTCATAGCATCTCGTCTTTATTCTATCTCAATGGTTATCGTATAGATTTGTGCCTAACTTAATCATATTTGTTAATTTTATCAGTAATTTTTTGAGACGCTCATGCGAGTCCCGTATATTTTAATGTTTTTTTTTTTTTTTAAATATTGATAGGGCGCATGAAATATTTGGATATAATGAGTTTTTTTTTGTAGAGACTATTAACTTTATTCTCATTAAGCAAACTTTCTTTTATCTGAATCGTATAAAAATTCCATCATTACTTTAACTGATAAATAATTTTTTGGATTTTTAAATGAATAGTTTTATGCCTTTTTTCTTAAATCTGCCATTACGTAATAATTATCTAACGGTGCCACACAAACAAAACTATGAATAACGAAATTATATCTATCAATCTATCAAGTTTATTGAAGTACCTAGAACCTGACGCCATCCAGGAATTGGTTAGCAAAACTTTCCGAAAAACGAAGGTTGCATAGTTATAGGTCACTTAAATTTTTAAATTAAGAATTAAAAAAAAAAAAAAGAAAAATTAAAACACAAATATTAAATTAAGAACAATTTAAATTATTTTATTTAAAATTTAAGAAAAAAAAATTTAAAATCTAAAAGCAAAAAAAAACAGTATTTTTTCAATATTTAAGGTCAAGTTTTGGTACGTTAAATGCACAAAAAAAAATAAAACTTTTTGCTCTTTTTGAGGTTAGACGATTTCTTGTTCTTTCATATACAGGGTGATTCATTAAGGTCCGTATTTATAAACAAAACTTACCTGAGTCGGACTTGGGTAAGTCGTCCTTGATCGAAAATCGAAGTTCGGTTATATCGCGTGAATTTAGAGATGGGTAGTAACAAATCCGCAAATGTACATGACGGTTACATATTTGCTAATATCCATCTCTAAATCCCAGTCTAACACCAGAACCACCTAGAACTTCAGAGACGTTGTAAACGAACTTCGATTTTAGTTCAAGGACGACTTACCCAAGTTCGACTCAGGTAAGTTATGTTTATAAATACGGACCTAATAGTAGCAGCCCGCCATATCCCATAATATTTTGAGGTATTTTTTTTTTTAAAGAAACGCAAACAGGTCGATTTTTATTTCAAGGGGGACATCTTTCTATAATATCCTCAACTGTCATGTCATTCCTCTCCCCTCCGTCAATCAAACGAATACAATTTAAACAGGGAAAGTACCAAGTAAGTTACATCACCGAAAATGTAAGTTTATGGGAAATTCAGCAGTGACTGTTGAATTCTGGAATTCTTTTTATTTTCTCGCGCTCTAGCGGGATAAAAAACTGGCACGTGTTGTAAAGTGTGACACTTCATTTAAAAGCAATTCAATGCACTACATAATATGTTAACTAAATCAAAAATGAACCTAAAATGAAAAAAATAAAATATTGCGTTATTACTAACTTCATTTTGTTACAAGTACAATATGGAAATATTTAGGTTAATATTATGTGATGCATTGGATTACTGATAAAATTAGCTTTCAAATGAAGTGTCACACTTTATAATACGTAACGCTAGAGAGCGTTAAAATGAAAACTAATGCAATGAACAGTCATATTGCTGAATTCCCGATAAATTTACCTTTTTGATGACTTGTCTTAATTGGTACTTTCCCTAGAGTAGCTAGTAGCTATGCTAAATCTCGCCCCTCACTATGTAACATGTAATCTTATTTGTTACAATAAAGACGTTTTATTATTATTATTATTATTAATTACACCGGCACACAAAAAAAAAGTGCTCTGTTATTTTGACCGGACCCATCTATCTCTATGTATTTTGACCCGCTGAATCCGAATCTGAGGTCAGTTTGGCCAATACACCTCCAAAATATCGAGAAAACTTTAAAAAACCGAAAAAAATGACGAAAATCGGCAATTTTGGTGATAGAAAAAATTTTAAGGACCTAAACCAAGCATGATTTTTATTTATGTATTTCGATCCGCTGAATATGAATCTAAAGTTTACTTAGACCATAAGCCCTTTAATATATAAGTAAATTCCAAAAAACCCTCAAAAATTCCTGAAAATTGCGATTTTTATGAAGAAAAAATTTTTTTTCGAAATTTTTTATGATTCTCATGTATTTCGATCCGCTGAATACGAATCTCGAGCATATTTAGTCCATACATACTTAAAAATGTACGTAAACAGCAAAAAATCCCCGAAAATTTCGAAAAATTGAAGTTTTCATGATGAAAGAAATAGAAATTATTCATGATTTTTATTTATTTTGATCGACTGAATCTCAATCTCGAGCGTAGCAATTATACGTAATAGTCCTGGAATGAAATCTAAATTTAAGGTCCATTGAGAATTCCTTTTTCTAATTTGAGAAAGCGAAAAAGGAACCCTTTACGTAGGTCATTTGAAGACAAAAGGATTCGATATAAGCGAAGAAGGGATTGAAATCACGAAGACAAAAGTTTTAGAATAGATTTTTTGAAAACTTAATCAAGTACAATCAATTTTTTGAATTATTCTAAGTGCAATTTTTATAATTTTTTATAGATTTTTTGCAATTAACTAAAATCTTTTTAGGGCTCCGGGCCAAATAAACTTTAAATTTATACTCTACAGATCAAAAAAACATGTAAAATACATTTTGTTTGTATTTAAAATTTGATTTTCATCATAAAAACTCCAATTTTTCGAAATTTTTGGAGATTTTTTTGCTGTTTACGTACGTTTTTAAGTATGTATGGGCTAAATATGCTCGAGATTCGTATTCAGCGGATCGAAATATATGAGAATCATGAAAGATTTCGAAAAAAAAATTTTCTTCATAAAAATCGCAATTTTCAGCAATTTTTGAGGGTTTTTTGGAATTTACTTATGTATTAAAGGGCTTATGGTCTAAGTAAACTTTAGATTCATATTCAGCGGATCGAAATACATAAAAATCATGCTTGGTTTAAGTCCTTAAAATTTTTTCTATCACCAAAATTGCCGATTTTCGTAATTTTTTTCGGTTTTTTAAAGTTTTCTCGAAATTTTGGAGGTGTATTGGCCAAACTGACCTCAGATTCGGATTCAGCGGGTCAAAATACATAGAGATAGATGGGTCCGGTCAAAAGAACAGAGCACTTTTTTTTTGTGTGCCGGTGTTATTTAAATTGTACTGGTCTCCTGTTAAATAAAAATCGACCTGATCTACTTTAATATATTCTGAGATAAGAGCCGGTCTTCACCCTTAATTAATTGCCCTATACAATACCAGCCGAAGAGAATAGCTGTTCACTAGCCACACTACTTGGTAGGGGTGCTAAGTATGTATATTATTGCACATTACTATTTATAATAGTAGAAAAATGTCTTATTTTTGTGCCAATCAAAACAAAGGATCTCAAATTTTTGATATGTTTGCTATGTTACATGGGCCGCAATATTTTTGGATGATTACCCTTAATTTTGCCATCCATTTAAAATTAGTGTGAATCTCTAATAAATAAAACACAAAACAAATATATCCCGTCGGGTTACTGCAAAAACAGGATAACTCACATTTTTAGAGTTTAGAAAAAACGCTGTTGAAAGGTTTAAAATTAAATAAAAAAAAAAATCAGTAAAAGCTTCAAACTCCAATGAAAAATGGCATTCAAAACATAATTAGTCTTCACAAAGTATAAACTAAGAATCTATCGATATAGGTTTGCAAAGTTTTAGTAAATCTTTCTTCTGGTTACTAATGTCTTGCACTTTTTGTAAATATTTTCAGAGCTTTTCACCCTTTTAGGCATCCCTCTGCCGGTATGGATTGGGGTTTTCATGTGAAAAGCTGGTGTTTTGGTGTTGTTTGGTGAGACGACCGTCAGCATCCCCGATCCTAACAGCTTGACCAATGAATCATTGACCACGGCGATTAGGGCAACACGTGTTAACATCTATTGGTTTTTGAAGGTTAGCTGAACCGTGGAAAGAAAGGGTGACGTAATCACCTTGTCGATTTCCGACCAATCGAGAAGGGCTAGAGACGGCTTTAGACAAAACAAATGGCTTCGGCAAAATGTTGAAGTATTTCAACACATAAATTTAACAAAAATAAGTGTTCTGGCATTTATCTTGTTTTTACAGAAAAAGTATTAGGAATCGGACTAAATACATTTTAACAAAAATAAGCTATCTGGTTTTGGTATACACACTATTAGCAGCTGAACACAATGTAATGATTATATTTAGGTATAAATGCCACTCGTCTTGTTTGTGCATATTGTAAATGTATTAATATGGAGTTTTTATGGGCCATCCGTTTATCATGAATATAGACTTCGTTCACACTCGTCTCGTTTATGACGTATATTATTTGACCTATTTTGAACACAAAAGTGTACTTATTTCGAAAATGCCGAAAGTAGAGTTATCTTATTTTGCAGTAACCCCATGATCAAACTGTTTATTTAAAAATTAGCCAGTGACCGATGAATGTTTTCTGACATTTCGCTCAAGATTTTAAAAACAGTAAGTAACCTAGCTTTTAATAGTATTTCGGACCACAAAAAAACATGGAGAGCCGCATGCGGCCCGCAGGTTGAGTATGGCTGGATTAGACGGACAGTTGCATGGTATCGTTTGATTTTTTTTAT